GACCAGAGAACCAACTGGCATGCTTTACGTAAATATCGACTTTATCTGAATTTTGTAAATGATTTGGAATCAGATGTTGTGCACAGCATTGTTGAAATTCTTGAACAGTAAAAAAATAGCCAAGTCTAATGTTTAAAGTCATAGGAATCTAAGAACGATTTGTAACTATCGAAACCGCTAAATTCCTGAATAACAGTGTCGAAATATTAAGAAGTCTTGCTGTCACTTAATCTCCTTTTAAAGCATTATACTGATGGAGTGATTGCTCAGTGAGTGCTATGATATCAATGATTCAGCTATTTAGGACATAGGTATAGAGAAAAAGGAGAAAGTAACTGCGACTCTTTTAAGGAATAGAGAGGAGAGCGAGAGTGAAAGAATAAAAACAGCAATTGTACACAAAAACAGCAACTTGTCAAAAATAAATAGATCTAGTTGGATATTTTGTCGACTTTCAGAGAAACGTGTTTTACAGCGCCGTTGACAAAGTTAAAAAATGTTGAAGTTAATTGTAGTTTAATTTTTCACGATTAGAAGAAGAAACAAAACGAACAAAAAACAAACATGTCTGTCTTGTCTCATTTGTGTCAAACCGTTGAAGCTAAAGAAAGTTGAAAATTTTAAGACGGAGAAGCTGGGGGTGATTTTTTTACTGCCTGCACGCATTCGTTCTCAGAAGCATCTACAAGAAGTTAAAGGGGGGTCAGATCTGAGAGAGAACTTTGTCAATCGTCGCAAACATCTGAGAAAATCATTCTGTCTTTGCCAAGATAACTGATAATGAAATTCTAGGTTTGTGTTGCCCAACTTCATTACTCGTCATAAACCAAATTAAACTGACAGAAAATAATAAATAAAATCACGACGAATGTTGCTCTTTTTCAGATGGGAATACACATATGTGTATTCCAGGAGGCAGTAGACGTTTTTTTTTTGTAAAATTTTAAAAGTCTTCGATCAACTGGTGACCTAGTAGTAATTTTCCAAGCGTAGCTTAGATGTGGCACAAGGCCGAAAGTAGATGGTATCCAGTGAGGATTGAACTCACTACTCAGTCGTAATTGTTCTAGCGAGACAAGCTTGTTAACCATTACACCGCTTCGAGGTGACCGACTGGTGACCTAGTAACATTTATATCGGTTGACCATTTATGCCTAATCTTTAAACTGTAAGGGTGGCTAAAATTCAGTGGAGTGAAAGTTTTCAGTGAATGCAGGTGACATTACAGAGACTTAAACAATTAGGACTATAGGAGAGGAGTCAATGTTTTTTTTTTGTTTATTCAGTAGAATGACCAAGATCCATCCAAAGTAGAGTATAAATATAGATAGACGAGGTGTGTTGTATGAACGTAAGAGGACAAGTAGGAATTGAGGATTATGATGTGTTGTGTAGAAAGATCGACTAACCTTCTCTACACCTATTATTTAACCATGGACTCATGTATCTGTTAGAAGTAGAACGTCTGTTCAAGGAATCGCGACAAAAACGTTGATTGCAAAGGCGTAGCATCTCAAACCATCTCTTGACATAATTAAACACTTCTTCATTTAATCCTTGTTTCCTGTTGAGTTTTGACACAACTCTCAATGTCAGTGTGGTACACTTTTCAATTAAAGCGATACAACTCTCAATATCTACTTTTATACAAAAAAATTCCAATGTCAGTGTGTCACGTTTTTCCAGTTGATGGACCCAATTCACAAAAGCTTATCTCCTTCTATATAATAAATGCCAGTAAGTCACACATTTTCACTTAAAGGGACACAACTCACATTAGTTTATCCCCTTCTATATAATAAATGACAGTGTCAGTGTAACACATTTTTTAAATTCAAGGGACACGACTCTCAATAATCTCCTTCTTCTATATGATAAATGCCAATGTCAGTGTGTAACATTTTTTTTCTGTTAAAGGGAGGCAACACTCATGAACCCCTCTCTTTATTATGTATAATAAATGCCCACGTCAGTGACACATTTTTTCAATTGAAGGGACACAACTCTTAATAGTTCATCTTCTATATAATAAATGCAAATGTCAGTGTGTCATAATGTCACACTAATTCCACTTTACCTCAGTCTAGTATTACTATGCATTACTTCAAATCGAGGCGGTTATTTAGTTAGGTTTTATTGAATTATTTAATGTCGAGTCTTTGTATGGATCATACAATGAAGACTAGATACGCTAGTCAATGGTAATGATTAACCATTTGAAACAGAGCAAATAAATATTTACAGTATATCTATCTATCTATCTATCTATCTATCTATCTATCTATCTATCTATATATATATATATATATATATATATATATATACATTGTTGTAACCTAGAAAAGGTTACTGAATGAAGAATACCCAAAACGGTGTTTTGAAATGAAATGGTAATTTTTATAACATCAACAAAGTACAATACCGCCACTTACAATAGTGTCCAATGTATTCATGAGGATAGGGACATACACATTAGTGTTCATATGTACGATATATATATATATATATATATATATATATATATATATATATATATATATATATATATATATATTCTGTTTGTACGTTATTTTTATGGATATAAGTTATTTGATTTAATGCTTTGTTTTAATTAAAAAGTAGTATTAATTAAATTTAACGGCGTGAATGTTCGAAAGATTTCGTAGAAAATATTCGTTCTGCGACAGGAATCGAATCTTTATTGCATAAGGAAACCAACATAGAGCATGACGTGATGTTAACCATTCAGTCTCAGAGGAGTTTCCGGTTAGCATCGGTTGCTTATGAACTTTGCTAACCGGAAATTAGGGCGCTAAATATCAATGATACTGTTAAATTAGAACAGAACTTAAAAAGTTGTATCCATAAAAATAACGTATAAACAGAGAATATATTAAAATATTTGTCGGATTTTATCCATTTCATCTAATATATATATATATATATATATATATATATATATATATATTAATGTTATCGGTCTGGATTAGGCGATCCCATCATGCTGTTACTTTGGAAATTGCCTGAAAACAATACCACCGGTTTAACCAATCCCTGTGAGTGAAATTGCGGAGACGGAAATCTTGGAAGCTGTCGGTTGTTGTTCTAATCCCAAGTCACTTGGTTTGAGCATGCTGACCTTGTTCGGACTGTTGACCATGTTAGATATCACACTTTCTCTCAGCATAGTAGTTGCAGTATAAACCATGTGGCCCCTCTGTGTGTTGAACAAAGTCAAATGTGCCTGAACAATGGAATGGCTGCGTCATAAAGAAAAAAAAAATACATTCATACATACATAGATACATACATACATATATATATATATATATATATATATATATATATATATATATATATATATCAGTGAACATTGAAATCAACACTCAGAGGCGACAGGCTGTTTCATGCTGGACGCAATCGTCAGACCACAAATCGTCTAGCATGAAACAGCCTGTCGCCTCTGAATGTTGACTTCAAAGTTCACTTTTATATTTACCTACGCTCTATCTCTGATACTGAATACTTTATTCCATAAATATAGCACAACTTAAAACTATATTTTTACACTTACACACACGCACACACACACATATATATATATATATATATATATTTCAAAGAGTTCAAATTCAAATCGAGTTCGTTACATTCTCTTAAGTGAAAATACACTTGAGAAAGGCATGAAAGCATCTCTCCCCCCAATCTAGGGTAAACACGAGTATAGACTGACTTCTATAGCATCGGCTGGCTAGGAGAATGAGGGCTCGGAATTAAAAATCTGCGCAGGGTCGTTTGGTGACCTTATGACATGTACACCAGTTCTCTTCATTCGGCTTTCCAGAAAGTTTTTTTTTTTTTTTAACAAGACTATAATCAAAGTAACTTCATGTGTTCAAAAAGACTGGGAGGAAAATCTATAAAAAGTAGAAATGGTTTTCGTGAAACAAGTTCCGACCTTTAGAACTTCATTCGGATTAAATTGATGTTAACCTTGACCCGACTACACATGCGCACGAAAATGTAAAATTTCAGCGTCCGCTATCCTTCTTGCGCATGTGCAATCGCTTCAGGGTAAACATCACTTTTCTCCGAATGAAGTACTAAACGACAAAACACGTAACATGAAATATTTTCCAAGATGTCATAGATTTTCAAAAACTTGTTCTTGATATATATATTTATAAATTACATATCCTTCCCCCATATATATATATATATATATATATATATATATATATATATTTATTTTTAAATATATATATATATATATATTTTTTTTAAATATATATATAAATATAAAAAAAGTATATAAATATATAAATACTTAGAAATACATACATACATATATATATATATATAAATATTAAAAATATTTAATATTTATATTAAAAAATATAAATATCTTGCATTAATGCAAGATATGTATATTCTAATATATATATTAAATAGCCCTGTTAGTTTTCTTACACTATAAATTATTTATATGTATTTGTATACGACCGCTCGCTCGTATACTTACCTAAATTTAACCATTCGGCTATATATATATATATATATATATATATATATATATATATATATATATATATATATATATATATATATATATATATATATATATATATATATATATATTCTTATGTAGGTGTGCATATAAGTACAATTCATATAAGTACTTGTATGTACGTAATTATTCTCTATCGCACAAGATGGGGTAAGACAGCGTGGCAAACAGAAAGTTGGTTTCTGTGTATTGAAAAAATATCTGTGTAAAAACAAACAACTTAAATTTCCATAGCAACCGATCAAAATGTTTTTACTTTGAACGCCTTTGTCTTTATTGAATTTTCTCTTTTTGTAACAACTCAAATTTCTTTCGCTTAGCTGCGAAACTGAACATTTCACTCACTTTCATTTTTCGTTTTTCGTTTTTTTTTTTTTTTTTATAAATTCAATTTTTCTATTATTTACTTTTTTTTTTTAAAAAAAAAAGTCTTATGTCTGTTTCTCTCTTTTTTTTTTGCTTGTTTCTTGATTTCTTTCCCTTACCTGAGACTTCACGTTTTCAGCATCACCGAAATCATCGAACGATCCCCTGCACCCCCCCCGGGTCGGATTTCCACCAACTATTTTACCAGATAATCTATCGAGTATACTGATAATCTGTATCTTCTGGCTGATATGATTTTCTAAGAATACGTGTTAACACTTCATCGGCAACATCGTCGCCCATCTTGGTACATCTGAAAAATGTTAGGTTAACTGAAAGTAACATGGTTGTCCCATATGAAATGTTGTCTTTTGATGAGTGACTGAGAAATAAAACACTTTTACGTCATAAAAATGCATTTTTATTCAACATCTGTTTTGCTCTACATTTCTCTTAGAAGGTTACTCAAATCTGTATCTCCTCTCAATAGAAAACTATTCGTTTTTTCACTTAAAATTTTCAAATGTTTCGACTACATCTTCACTATACGAGACTCTTCCTATTTCTTATAGAAAGACCAACGTGTTTAAATAAGAGATTATAACTGGTAAATAAAGTAGATGCTGTAAATATCATAACTATAGCTGTGCATCTTAGCAGTAGAACGTAAAATAAGCAGAACTGGGTAATCTCTATTCGCTTGACTATAGCTTCTTTTAATTTTTGCAATGCATGTAGTTTAATTTTGTTGCAGTATCAGTTGGCTGTAATTGATTTACCTTGTTGCGAAATGAATAATGAATGATGACCTTTTTATGGCTACCACACAGTTACTATGATCTTTTGAGGATAATGACGTGGTTTTGGTTGATGTTTCAGAAACTGATCTGTATATAACCATTGTCCTATTCGCTTACTTTATTGAAACACAGCAAAAATCTTTCACTTTCAGGTCGTAATTACAACATGGAGCATACCTACAAACATCAGTTTATTTGATTCCTAGTCAATTCATTGACGTTTCTAGTAGGTTTAAAATAATTCCCATCTGCTTAATGGGTACTTCTCTCGATAGATCATTTACGAGTGAATAGTGAATTCGATTTTCACTGGATATCCCATATTTTCGGCCTTGTGTCTCATCTAAGCGATGCTTAGAAAATCGCTGTACATACCTAATTTAAACGTCATTTTTAGTGGAAATTCATTAGCCTTCGTGGGCGAATTGGTCTAAAGCACATCGGACAAACATGCACAGACAACCACACACACACATATATATATATGCGTATATACAGATACATATAATATATATATATATATATATATATATATATATATATATATATTTATATATATATATATATAGACATATTTTGGCAGCAGGTTTTCATTGAGACAAGCTTTTTGGTGTCGTTATTGAAAGACGAGTGAAAATCGTCGTGTTGATACATATTATTTATTTATTCCGAGTACTTTCGACATTAGCACAATGTCGTCATCAGGATGTTGTTTTAAGGAAGACAAATGATGTAGTGTTCATTATTATCGAAGACATAATTATTGTGTTCATCTGTAAGTTAAACTTGTTACTGGTGAAGTGAAGAACGCTGAGTCAGTGCGTGATCCCTTGACACTCTTTCCGGGAAGGTAACTAATTATGGTTGCGGAGAGTATTTACGAAATAAGTAGTAAAAAATATTAGTGCAAACCATGACATTTTAAAACTGTTTATTTTAAGACATTTGTGCAGTATTCGTAATTAATTTTATTAAGATTTCGTTTCAATTTTTAATACAGATAGCTTCACACGCACCCCCATATATATATATATATATATATATATATATATATATATATATATATATATATAAATCGTAATTTGTATTTAGTCGCTTCAAGTATCTTTTTCGTCTGCGAGGATAGTATTCAGCAGTCACTGCTTTATGAACGATTAGATACTCCATAATTGTTTAGTAGTCTTATCTTTCTGTCTATAGACATTTTGTTTTTTTCTAAACTTCGTTTCTGAAAGGCATTTTCACTCTTACTATGCATCTTTTGACGAGCCAACTTGTCATGAATATTGTCTGACTGTTATTTATGGATTTTGTCTAAGCAATGCATTCAATAACTCATTGTTTGTGACCGAATTGGGTTTGGTTGATTCGCCAGACTCATTTCCTGCACAAAAATTCTTGGGACCACAACACTTTAAAACACCGGTTAAGCAACATCGAGGCTGGTCAGTATCTGGACGGTAATTTCTTGGGCATACCAGTTGCAATAAGCTTAGATTGGCAGTTACTGTAATGGATAACGTCTCGGAATTGTTAATCGAAGAACCGAATTTTGTGCTTCGTTATATTCACTTACTCACGATTAACCTTGGAAAAGGTAAGAATCCATCTTTTCTGCCTCTATCGGTCAATTAGTAAGACTTGTAACACTAAACACGTATTATATGTAAAGAATAAAATAAAATTATATACAAATTTAGTTAGATTTCGGTATTAAATAAGCCAAGAGTAGGGTGTGGTCAAACCGCAGTGCGCGAGGCACATGCGGATCCTTGAACTTTAATATACAGCTCGTGGAAATATGTTGGATGACTTCCTTTTTCTAATCACAGTTAATATTAAAGGTAAATAAGAAACAACTCAAGCTTTATAATTATTTACTGGGTATAAATTTAAACCCTGTTGGATTAAAACGTACGTTTAATGTTCATAGTTAATAAAAAATATTTAATAATTTAAAACTTAAATTTAATGCTAGACCTGAGTGAGACAATGTTCTTTAGTATTGAAGGAAGGATTGGTGGAGGCAGAGAGATTAAAGAAATTTCCGTTCAACAAGGATTGCAGAAAGATATCAGAAGACTCAAGTCGTGTAAATAATAACTTCCTTTAACCATTTCCTTCGAACTCGGGTGAGTTGAGGAAAAAGACGGAAGAAATTCTCCTATGTGAACTTTCCCATGACCAATGAAAACCTTGCCTTCACAGTGTTTGCCCGGGGAGCTGAGAAAAAGACGGAAATAAATTCGCGAGCCTATGTGAAATTGCCTTTGGACCAGAGAAAATTTGTCTTTACAGAAATTCCAAAATATCAAACCTATGGGAGATCGTTTTTTTTTTTGTTTTTTTTTTTTTAAAAATAAAACGAGAAGAAAGAACAAATTAATAAAAGAATAGTGTCTGAAGTCACGTGAAAAGTTTCGGTTCTGAGCACGCGTCAAACGTTCCAGGTCTTGCCAGTGTCAAATTATTCGCCAATTATATTATAAGCCTTAACCAAACACTTGGTACTTCAAAGAACTTTATTTCAACAATCCAGAAAAACTAAGTATTTCAAACAATCTCTTATTGTTTACTTTTGAATGTATGTAAACATATATCCCCTTTTGTGAACAACGAATTCCCTTACCTTTGATTTTTAATATTATTTTGTGTCTGATAATTTAATCTGTTGTATGGACATTTCCTCTTCATGACATTTTGTTAAAACTACGAATTTTAAAATTTATTTTCGTGAAACGAGCAACTGACACGACTTCAAGCATGTAAATTCGTAAATAGATTACTTATCGCGTTTTGTTAAAATTACCCGAGCATTTCCTCGTCATTCTCTGTTTCCATTAATCTTCGTGGCGTGGGTAAATCAATTGCTGATATTGCAGGCAAAATTCAAAATGATTTTTATTGTATCTAGCTTAGCTCTTGAGGAATCAACAGACACACAAGACAACCCAAAACTGGCAGTGTTTGTTCGTTGTGTTTCCTCTGATGTAACTTTGAAAGAAGAGATGTTGGACTTTGTGGCATTAAGAGAAACAACACGAAAAAATACATTTGACAGAACTTTAACAAATGCTGTTGATACATTGAATAAACTCGTCGGTGTTGCAACAGATAGAGCACCTGGAATTGTGGTGAAAATCTATGATTAATTGCACTTATGAAAAATGATCCCCCACTCTCCAGAGATTATCCCTGTTCATTGCATTATTCATCGTGAACACCTGGCAGCCATATACTTCAAGTATGAAAATGTTATGAAATATGTCGTTAAAACTGTCAATTTTATACGCTTAAATGAGAAGAATCAACGACAGTTCATAAATTCAATAAGGAACTGGAGCTTGAAGATAAACGCAGTAATGTCTCTTTCTACGACATTGTGGCTGTCAAGTAGCAATGTCTTGAGTAGGATTGTGGATCCGTTGAAGCTTATTGTTACTTTTCTTAAAGAAAAGAAAAGATCCTATATCCCCATTGGAAAATGCTGAATGGATGCGAAATCTGATGTTCCTTACTGATATAATAAATCATCTACAAACTTGGCACTGCAGATGATGAATAAAATTGTTTCTAATCTGTCAGACATATTTCAGTTTTGAGAATAAAATAAGAGATTTTCAAAAAGACATATCGTGAAGAAACTTCAATCTCAGTCGGGGAGTAAATACATTCCCTGATATTGAAATAAAAACTGGATAAATTACAAGGACTACTTGATAATATTCTGATTCGTTTTGATGACTAACGTAAGCTGAAGTTCTGCTTTGCCTTTCTTGTAAATCCATCCAATTCTCGAACACCTGGTTCGAAATAATATCCGGTGGTAATTGAAATGATGGTATTACATGAGGACATGGGTTTAAAGATAATCCATAAATCCTAGTCAGAAATAAAATATCCTGACTTGAAGAAAACTAGTGCGCGACTCAACATACTTCTGTGAAACACTTTACTCTGTAATGAAGTTTGTGAAGCCGAGGCATCAAGTAATCCTTACAAGCCAACACCAGACGGAGCTAATTCGTACAGCCTTGCCAGATCTTCAAAAACTCACAGTCAAGATAGAGATCTACATGATCACCACTAGCAGTAAATAGTGGTTTTAATAGCTAGATTTTAATTTTGTAATATGGTATATGATTAATATATATTTAATTTCATTGTTTTACTTTTCTTACATATTTTCCTCCACGTTTTGACCAGATATTTTCTAAGACAAATAAATATCATTAAAATATATTTTTTTCCTTTTTCAGTGTTATTTTTGGCAGTCTAACTTTATGTTATTGAAATGAAAATTCGCACAATTTTAGAAGTTCCTATAGTTTATTACCGTATTAATTATACTAACTATAAATCAAATAATCATCAGTCAAGATTTTGAAAATATTTGGTATATATATATATATATATATATATATATATATAATTATTATATAAAAAAATATAATATAAGTATGATTATAAAATCACTAAAAAATAGCCATTTTTGTTGAAACAAACTGGTATTTTTTCAAGTTAGTGAAAATATAACATCACTTATATTATATTTTTTTTTATAAATAATAATTATATTATATCTACTTTGTATTGAGCACTCTTTTAAGAATAGTAATTGTTGGTTATTGGAATTCATTCGTATATACCAATTATATACTTGTATATATATATATATATATATATATATATATATATATATATATATAAAGGCAGGATGTTTTTGTGTGTGTAACGAATCCCGGCCGCAATTTTCGACGGATTTGCACCACAATTTACATGCACATGCTCCAAGTTAGTGGGAAGGCTAAGACCGACTTTGCATTTCCCAACTCCCATCGATAGTAGAAATAATCGATTTTTTCATGCTTCTACGACAGTTTTCATGTAGTTTGCTGCCATTTTCTACTGGCCAGAATGAGAGCCAATAGCTGGCTGCCACTAATAGGCAGGAAGATTCTATTGGTCAGCGTGAGAGCCAACAGCTGACTGACACGAATGTTAACTAGCATGCGAAAAAAATCGATAGCTGCATTTGTCACAAGTGGGAAAAATTTAAATCTGCATGGCACTTTACTCCAATTGGCTCATTCTCTTGCTTAAACTCAACGTTGATTCTGATTCCGCAGAACTGGGTTGGGTGTCAAAAAGTATTTGTTGTTAACATTCTTTTTTCATTCGGTTTTTCCAGTTACGAGTCCTTTTTTAAAGCTGATCGTTTTGTGTTCATTTTGTTTAGTTCTTTTTTCGTAACAGATATAATGTTTAGTATAGAGCTTCGAAAAAAATTCGCAGTGTGAGATAGGCAAGAAGTAAGGCATGTAGCAACATCAACACGGCAAAGGGCACTTCTTTAAAAGCAATGAAAGAAAAAATGATAGCAATTGCTGTATGAGTCGTACAATTTTTGAATCAAGCACGGGCAACGCCGGGCCATGCTGCTAGTATATATATATATATATATATATATTGTGATTTTTGAAACAGTTGTAAGAAAATGTGTATATAACAAAAACATATGTGTAAATTTCGTTCATGTCTTGTGGTTTTCAAAAATCTGAACTTGATCGCATTTGGCTCTTACATTAAGCAAATTTTTCCACCTCGGCCATACAGGCTGATATGCCGCTAAAGAAAATCAACCAAGCAACATGCCTGAACAAAATTTTTGGAACTATCTCTGTATAATTATGAGATTTAACAATACGACTACCAAATGCCAAGAAAATACTTTGCTAAGCTTTTGTGTTATTGTGGCCTCATTTGAATTCGTATAATATGAGCAGTCATTATTGGTTAGTTCTTATCATTTTCTGGAGGCTACGAATAACAGTATTCTTGTGAAAGAAACAACAGAGATACGTAAGGACTGATATCTGGCTAGAGTAGAAGTAGACGACGAAAAATGTGACACAGAAATTCAAATGTTCGTGGGAAGAGCGAAAGGTGTCTTCTATAAACTAAATTAAGAAATAGAGAATAAGAAAATGTCAATGGACACAAAGAAAAGACTACTGAACTGCTATGTAATATCTAATCTCTCATACAGTAGCCAATTATGAACACTATCTTCTCAGATGTCAAACATACGAGTAACGACTAAAAACAGAGAAGGATATATGACCACATACGTTAATTCTCATAATTTCTCTCTCCAAAATTATATTCCCCTTTCCTCCTTCAAAACCCTAAGTCCATCTCTTATTTCTTACATATTTACTTCTTTCTTTTTTTTTCTCTTTATATCGTTTCCGGTGAGTTGACCTATTAAATAGGTCAGTGTATGATCCTTACTCCCCTTCCTCACTGTATTGTAATAAAAATAAATTTAAAAAGATTCCTATCTCTCCCTCCCTTCTCTAATTTCGACCATGTCTGTCACACTATCTCTCACCACTCTCTATATCACCTTACATTAACTTAATACTACCCTTCAAAAGTGTAAAAAATTGTATGTAAATTGAAATTCATTTTTTCATTCTTGGAAGTGAGGTATGATGAGCCAGGTTAAAAGAAACTCCCTAGTGAAATAAATTATAAGCAAAGGACACTTAAAGTTGTCTGTTTTATTTAAATGAAATTAATCTCTCTGATTTAACACTGAGCTCTCCGGATTTCATCCTCCTTGGGATTATCCGTAGGGATTACCAAGATTTTCATTACTTAACTATATATATATATATATATATATATATATATATATATATATATATATATATATATATATATATGTGTGTGTGTGTGTGTGTGTGTGTGTGTGTGTGTGTGTACTCATGTTTTGTATTGTATCTTCTTGCATTTCATTTTACATATATATATATATATATATATATATATATATATATATATATATATGTACAATGAAAATAAATTACAATTTCAGCGTTCGTAATATTTAATTTAAAAGAGGGCTAATACATAGTAGAGCAATATTATTTATTTTAGGATATTACACCGAAAAATATGTAAAAATTGCAACATATTTGCAGTCGTGTTTCAATGCATATCAATGTATCTCATCAGGCGATTGTAAATTACTAGCGGGTGAACGAATTACTTCGATTTAAAAACAAAATGCAACCTTTGAAAAAAGAAAAAGTATTATGAGGTTTGAGGTCTTTACGAATCAAATATAACCTACGTTAAATTTAAACTAAATGAAGATGCAAAAATTTAAAATTATATTTTATAAATGGGCCACGACTCGTAGATTTTCAGCTAACAGCAGCCAGACATACTCTTAAAGCTGATGCATATTGTTACATAAATTTTACAAACCAGACATTGCAATTTCGTAAGAAATAAAAGGGAAGTAGAGAGATAATTTAAGAAAATTCTAAAAAAGTTATATGCTTTGTGAATTTCTTACATAAACTTTTTGTAGTTGATAAATAAATGGCTTCTTTATGAAACTAGTAAATAATTTAAATATATAGAATTATTTGGTAAATTAATATGTAACTAAAAGATTCTTCATATAAGCTGTTAAGAACACTAACCAATCAATGTAAAATGCCAAAAATAGCAACCAAATATCAATATATCTGTACAAGATGTTACTAATAGAACCAGGAAATTAATACAAAATTATATTAAATCCAGAATAATCTCATAAATAGAAAGATAAGCCATATATTATCAAATTCTAATTCTAATTTTAAGATAAAGGGAACCTATGTTTACAATTTGAATTTGGATGAACATCATTTTTAAAACAGAAATATGAGTTCCAGTACAATATGATTTTCTGGAAGGAAGAAATTGTAGGAAGGTTCATCTGTCTAAATTTGAATTAACATAGCTGCAACAAAATTGTATCATTTATGTACCGGGCCTTGAAGAAATGGACACGTTTTTGTGATCAATTAGCGGCCATTTTCAATTATCATCTCATGTCTTAAAAACGGCAATACTTACCTTACGAACTATGGTGATCTTATTACTCGGCATTCATTGACTCAAAAGTTTGCGTTATTGTTGATCAAGTTAGTAACATCTTTCACATAAAACAGGTTGAGTTTCACATTGAGTGAATTGATGAACTGAAAGTTATTTCTTCAAAATTATAATTGTTGTTTTCTAAGCTATACCAGAGGTTTCTTTAATTCTGGGCAGAAGGCTCAATTAGCCTTATACAGGAGCTATCTTAAAAGTCCGTACGAGGTGCAGCTTTTAAGCTAGTAATAAAATAATAATTTTTTTCACAACAATAAGATTCTATTGTTTACCGAAGTCATTGCTTTGTATGCAGATATCTCTAAAAATCACAGAGCTAAGTGCTTTCAGCTGTTTGCTATGAATGGGCTTGGGCGTATTTTCAAATATTTCAACTTTATGGCCATTCTGAAGGCATTAAAATAAATGTCCGACTTTTAAAACAGTAACTAGCTAAAATTATCGATTCTATTGTTCTCCCCAAATCAGCAACCACTTTCAGATATTAATTACTGTATCTGTTCCATCGTCTTATGAGACGAACATTTCAGACCACGAAACGACCGTTCATAATTTTCTGCGCCCGCCATTGGAAATTAAAGAGAGGTCAATACAGCTGCAAACGATAATGAGAGACTTGGGACAAAGTTAAAGACGCAGCAAAAAATGGTGAAGCGTTATAAAAGTAAGAGAAAACCGGAAATAGATTTCTGGCGTGAGTGTCCTACTTTCTGGCGCGGAATGCCCTCCGGCTGGGAATCAGGCAAAAGAAGTGTGAACATTCAGATGCTCTGTTAACAAGAATTGATGCTACTTAAAGGAAAGTATTTGCCTCTAAGCAATCTTTGTTTGCTTTTGCTTCTCTTAGTAGACGATAAACCAAAATAAATGCTTGAAAGGATTAACCAATAGGCAATCATTAAAGAAATAATTCCGTTCATTTCGCTAATTCATTTCGTTCGATTGATATCTGAGTCAGTACAAACATCCTTCCTTCCGTCTTTCCTTCCTTCCTTCCATTCTTTCTTTCTTTCTTTCTCCATTTCCTTTTCTTTTTCTTTTTTCCTTCATTTCTTTCTCGCATCTTTTTGCGGGATACATTTCTTTCTTTCTTTCTTTTATTATTGGGTAAAAACCTTTTCTTTCTTTTTTTTTTCTTTATTTTTCTTTCATTTCGTTCGATTGATATCTGAGTCAGTACAAATATCCTTCCTTCCGTCTTTCCTTCCTTCTTTCCATTCTTTCTTTCTTTCTTTTCCATTTCCTTTTTCTTTTCTTTTTTTCCTTCATTTCTTTCTCGCATCTTTTTGCGGGATACATTTTTTTCTTTTCTTTCTTTTTATTATTGGGACAAAAACCTTTTTTTCTTTCTTTTTTTTTCTTTATTTTTCTTTCATTTCGTTCGATTGATATCTGAGTCAGTACAAACATCCTTCCTTCCGTCTTTCCTTCCTTCCTTCCATTCTTTCTTTCTTTCTCCATTTCCTTTTCTTTTTCTTTTTTCCTTCATTTCTTTCTCGCATCTTTTTGCGGGATACATTTCTTTCTTTCTTTCTTTTATTATTGGGTAAAAACCTTTTCTTTCTTTTTTTTTCTTTATTTTTCTTTCATTTCGTTCGATTGATATCTGAGTCAGTACAAACATCCGTCCTTCCGTTTTTCCTTGCTTCCTTCCATTCTTTCTTTCTTTCTCCATTTCCTTTTCTTTTTCTTTTTTCCTTCATTTCTTTCTCGCATCTTTTTGCGGGATACATTTCTTTCTTTCTTTCTTTTTTTATTATTGGTAAAAAACCTTTTCTTTTTTTTTTTTTATTTTTCTTTCATTTCGTTCGATTGATATCTGAGTCAGTACAAACATCCTTCCTTCCGTCTTTCCTTCCTTCCTTCCATTCTTTCTTTCTTTCTCCATTTCCTTTTCTTTTTCTTTTTTCCTTCATTTCTTTCTCGCATCTTTTTGCGGGATACATTTTTTCTTTCTTTCTTTTTATTATTGGGAGAAAAACCTTTTTTCCTTTATTTTTCTTTCATTTCGTTCGATTGATATCTGAGTCAGTACAAACATCCTTCCTTCCGTCTTTCCTTCCTTCCTTCCATTCTTTCTTTCTCCATTTTCTTTTTTTTTTTTTCCTTCATTTCTTTCTCGCATCTTTTTGCGGGATACATTTCTTTCTTTCTTTCTTTTATTATTGGGTAAAAACCTTTTCTTTTTTTTTTTTTCTTTATTTTTCTTTATTTTTCTTTCTTATATCTTTTTGGAGGAAAGCTCTCTTGTTTTCTTATATCAAAGAAACAAAGACAAAAAGGTGGCCTCCAAAAGGAGGCCACCTTTTTGTCTTTGTTTCTTTCTCTCTCATATCTTTTTAGAGGACATCAATCCTTCTTTCTTTCTCTCTAATATTTTTGGGAGAAAACATTTTATTCTGTTTCTTTTTTTTTCTCTCTTTTTTCTTTCTTTCTTTCTTTCTTTTTTTATATCTTTTGGAGAAAATATGTCTTTTTTTTCTTTTTTCTTATATCATTCTGGAGACCACATTATTTCTGTCTTTCTTTCTCTTTTTAGAGAAAATCAATCATTCTTTAATTCTGATATTTTGGGGGAGAAAACATTTCGTTCTTTTTTCTTTCTTTTTCGCGTTTTTTCTTTCTTTTTTGCTTCTTTCTTTATCTTTCTTTTTTTCTTTCAGATGCCTTTTCGGAGGAAATCGATCTTTTTTCTTATATAACGTTGGAGGTTATATTTCTGTCTGTTTCTTTCTTTCTCATATCTTTTTCGTCAGCTTCAATCTTTCTTTCTTTCGTTCTTTCTCTCTGATCATTTTGGAGAAGAACACTTTTCTTCCTTTATTTTCTGATATAACACATTTCTTTTTTCGCATTTCTTACTTACATTCTTCCTTTGTTTTTCACTGTATACTATTTTTTTTACCTTCAAATGGCACTATTTTTCTTTGCGTTTCTTTAGATTGTTCTAGTTCCCCGTGCCACGCCTCTTCCTTATATCTCAGTTATTTCCCTTTAACTCAACACTCCAGGTTTTTGGTTCACCACTGCTGTGGCCTGGTATTGAACTCGCAAATCTTTGGGTCTAGTCACTGGATCTAACCAACGTCTTCATCCGCTGAACCATGTGTCCTTGAGGAACTAGAACAATCTACCCCGGTGGACGGAACAAGGTGTTCGGTTCGATATTCCAATCACCTGAAGAAGGACGGAGTGTACAATGACCGAAACGTGGTAATGAAGATAAGGATAACAGTCCGAATAATGTAAATAATGCAAATAATCCCAATATCAGAGATATAGACACATTAATCTTGTCTTGATTTTTCTCTTTGATAATAATATCTTCGTTGCCTTTCTTTTCTTTTCGTTGAAACTATCGCCTTGCCTTTGGTTTTTAATCCTTTCTTCTGCTTCCCGTTTGAAATGGAAAACATGCTACATTTCTATTTTCTGCAGAAGTTACAGGACAGATGAATGACTGATTCTGTACGGTTTGCATCCAAATCGTGTGTCGCTTCTACACGAAGCATTAGCCCCTAGAGTAGAGATAGTTGATTCTTCTCTCGTAGAACCAAATCAACTTGACTCTTGCAGAAATGTAGGAGGTCGATTTCCTGAATCTTAATTGTAAATTCGAATCTCCAGAATGAAACAAAGGGAACATAAATTCTAACCAATCTTTGCAATTCGCAGTAAAGTACGTTTGAACTGCCATGTAACCTTGGAATATTTGAGAAGGATATTAGAATAATTTAAAACCTATACTGGGAGCAAACTATCTACATTCGGATAGAAAATCAATTCAGTAAATCTATATATAAAATTCTGTGATATCCGTTATTCCGCCCGTCCCTCTATCAATCATACCCTCTAAAATAAGTATACGTTGAACTATCGAAACCAAATTTTGGGGAGAAGTACAAACAGGTAAGGTCGTACAAAGTACAGATGGTTTTAACAGGGGGCGTAAAAACCGCGACGTAGGTTTTTGTCAAAGCATTTTTTCTAATGAATCAGCTTATTCAAATTTCATCACATGGTCTGCGAAATTGAACGGAACGTAGAGTTTGTAAATCTCGACAAAAGTTTTAGCAATAACTTCAACAATATTAAATACTATGAGGAGTTCAACACGTGCAGCGTGTTACAAAAAGAGTTTTAGTATACAAAAATAGAAAGTAGACAGTGAGACGACTCTGAGAAAAATATAAGTCCTACCAAGATTCAGTGTTGGTCGTCACAATATTAAGAACATCAGGTCCAAGCACCTCCTCGGCATTTTGAACAGGATTAGAGTCTTACCCCTTGTTTCCTGCTTAGGATAATCCCGATTCTTTCTAATGCCTAATTTAAATCTATATTTCTAACGTCTACGCATAAATCACTGAACTTTTATTTACTATTGAATTACCTTTTCTTTTCTCAATAGGAATCAGTAGGTTCGTCTATCATCCGATTCACATGCCTCTCGGGTATTTTGCACGGGAGTACAGGTTTTCTGTTTAGGATTGGGTTTCCAGTACCTTCTAAAGCCTTCTACTTATGTAACCCTTAACCTCGAGTGGCTCTTGGGCTTTGTACAGCGTGTGTATCATTGTAAAGAGTATCATTATAATAGACAGATTACACAGTTTTGATAGCAACGCTTCGACCATTGTGTCCTCTGGCCTTTCATCAGGAGTATGAGGATCCGGGTAAACTACAGGGAATTTTGAACTGAACTCTTTATTAATCTACGGGTGTAGACTGTTCTCGTTCCGTTACCCATGTCTAGGGGTATCTTATCCAAACTTATCTTTTGTACTACTAAGTTATTTCTCTTCGCTTTATCACTGAGTCCAACTACACGCCGTGTATACGTCGTCTCAGTGAAAACGGTGTGACGGATAACTAGCTAATAATACATAAGGACTTGAGATGTTTTCCTATATGGAAAAGAGTTATCTGACCATTACTGTATTCATTAAAAAAACTAATTTCACCCCAAGGAAGGCAACAATGCCACTAGTACGTATAAGGTTACAGGGAATTAAATTGAAAGAAAATACTGAGTATAGGAATGATTGAGGAAAGGACTAAAGATACACAGGAAGAAGACAGAAGATGGCGATTGATGTAGCATTTAAATTTTTCAAGATTGTAGTTATCAAGAAAGCAAGTAAACGGAAAGAGAGATCCACAGGCTGGAAGTGCGAGAAAAGAAACAGTTGGAGTAGAAATGGAGGTTGCATTTAGCTATTTTAACAGTAAACGGGTGGGACCTACATGCCAATCTAGTAGCACGCTTGAATTCATACATTCGGGGAACAAGTCTAAAAAGATCCTCAGTGTAGTTGCCATAAAGATATTTGTAGAGAAGACAGAGTTAAGCCACATCACGCCGGTGAGAAAGTGACTGAATTCAAGATGCCTGGTTAGTAATTACATTCTCTCAGTCATGAGGTTTCTTTAACTATAACCATTCCTCTAACCTCGTAAGTTTCTTATCTTTTCCCTCTGTCATATCTATAGATTGATTCAATCCAGAAATTTTGAATTCTTTGATTCTGTATCCATTATGCTCGTAATTTTTTCTGAGTAGTCCATCTGTGACCATCGGGCGGTTGGCATGTCTGTTGATAATGGGTTTGTGTAAAAGCCTGTCCAAACCTGTCTTCATTGTGCGTTGTTGCCACTGAAGGCACCTAATTTTCATCCATATTGACGTACTGAGAACTTCTTTCCTCAAAACCTGTTTTTTTTTTTTATTTCTACATCTTTATTCTATATGATATCTATCATTAATGTGATCTTTTATAATGTGTGTCAACAGCGTACAATGATGACAGGTTTGAACAGGCCTTGGTCTATCCCAGTTGACAACAGAAATGTCAACCAGCAGATGGTCAGAAATGAAGTGTTCAAATCTATCTATCTATCTATCTATCTATCTATCTATCTATCTATCTATCTATCTCAGTCTGTTCTTATCTATCTATGTTTTTTCTACATCAAGGTTCAGCCTGTACAAAGCTCCGGCGGAACTTGAGGCAGAGAGTAACATTAAGGGATCACTTTATATAGATAGGAGAGTAAGGTAACAATTAACTCAATTCATGAACAGGTTAAATTTGAAGTGATCAGGGAAACATTGAAGAGGGTGTTTCCCTGTTCCACAGAACAGTAATTGGCGGGAAGAAGCTGTTCGAGAGGAATTTGTTTCTCACTGATGGAATACGGAGTGAAAGTGGGTGGTTTGCAACAATGTAAGTGGCATGGCAGGTCCTACCCGTAAAGGCTTAACCTGGCTGAACCAAGGAATGTTGTTCATCCTTTGTATGGAAGTGGCTATCGCCGGTGAGAGAGTCGTTGAAGTGTGAAAAATAATTCGTCGCCTATAAGAACTCGGGGACGCTTTTGAATTCTATTGAAACTGGAATGTGAGGACTGGGAAGATAAGACAAATTATGACAACAGTACTCCTTTTTCGGCCTAATCTGGCTTTTGTGAATGTAGAGGATAGAAGGAGGAATCAGGTACCTACTGGATCGGTACAGAAAGTCGACCATTTAATGTATGTACGATATCCACTTGAGGTCAGGTTTGAGTTTGAGGACCAATAGCCTCTCGGAAGATCATCTGTTCATCGTGACTAGCTGTAGTTCGGTGATCTATCTATCTATCTATCTCAATCGGTTCATAATTATTTGTTGGTATATGTATGAAAAAGTAGATATCACCTAAGATTGGTTGTGCAAAGGTCAAAATGCCTTTGTTAATGTCATTTCACTTCGGGATGTAGGCGATCATGTCTTTCAAAGGATTCTTTTTATTATTATCTTTGAGTTTCTACGAATTCTTACAAATGATAGAGGAGCTGCTAACTTTGCAACGGTTAAGTGCTGTTGACCGTCTTTTAGATTAGCTGCCATCCCTTGACGGATGAGACGGAAGAAATGATTGTTTCTTGCCTTCTTATGTGTCTTAGTGTGATAGTGAATACAACAGACTAGACCAGCAATTCGCTTCATCGATTCCGTTTATCGCGTTGATAATTGTTTCGTAAACTGAGAATCTACTAAAGATTCATGCGCTAAGTGAATGTGATTTTTCTTTCATAAAATTCACTAAGAAAAGTAGTTACACACACACACACACACACACACACACACACACACACATATATATATATATATATATATATAAACATAAACATTAGGTAGCATATAATTTATATACAAAGAAATAATCCCACATAGAATCAATCAGCAATATTAATGCTATTATTGGCGACATCCATCACTAGTAGTGTATAATGTATGCATTAAAATACTGTTAATCCATAGAGTGACGTAGTCCTCATTGATAAAACTGTTGTCTCTTTTTTTTCCAGTTTATATTTTTTTAAAATGCAAGTAATTATACATATGCCTGGCGATGAATAAAGGATTTTTCGAAAGTACTTGCATTTAAAAAAAATATAAACTGGAAAAAACAGACAACAGTTTTATCAATGAGGACCACGTCACTCTATGGATTAACAGTATTTTAATGCATACATTATACACTACTAGCGATGGATGTCGCCAATAACAGTATTAATATTGCTGATTGATTCTATGTGTGATTATTTCTTTTATATATATATATATATATATATATATATATATATATATATATATATATATATTATATATATATATATATATATATATATATGTATGTATGTATATTACATTTTAGATATAATTAAAAATATATCTACAAAAGACAATAAGAATAAAAGAAAACTTTTCTTTAGCAATATGTTTCGTCATTTATGGACTTTATTAACATAATTGACATTGACGAAACGCGTTAGTAAAGAGAAAGTTTTCATTTTCTTTTTATATATATATATATATATATATATATATATATATATATATATATATATATATGTGTGTGTGTGTGTGTGTGTGTGTGAAAATATATAGAAAATAGGAAAGAACTCGTTAGGTAAATAATCCAAAAGTTTTTAGTATTTTTGTTATTATTTTTAAAAAACAGTGCTCGATTAAAAAGTAGAGCCTAAATATAATTATTTATTTAAAATATGATTCCATCGCTACATAAGATATTATGTAACGATGGAATCATATTTTAAATAAATAATTATATATATATATGTGTGTATATGTGTGTAATATATACACATACATATACCTATATATATATATATATATATATATATATATATATAATAATCTATATATCTAAAAATAATGTATATCAAAATGTATAAATAATATATCCATATAATATACATATAAATATATAAATAATATATAATATATATAAATGTACGAATATATATATAATATATATATCTATATAAAATAATATGTAATAAAATACATACAACAATAATATATATATATATATATATATATATATATATATATATATATATATATATATGTATATGCATATCTTCGTGTGTTATTGAATAATATCGGCATATTGTATCTATTTATTTTTTATAATAATCCTTTCTCGTTCTCTAACATGCTTCTTGATGTTAAGATCAAATTTATCATGGAAGGCGCCATGGTTTTTTGTTACCCTAGTTTCCATCCCCACCTTCACAATACAGGAAAATACTTGTTGACAACACCAATATACAACACCACGAAAATAATAAATAAACATTTCAAATTCTCGGAGCCCTTTATAACAAAAGCAACAAAACATATTATTGATGTAGCAGCCATATGTTGATGTGCATGTAATGACATTTCCATTTCTACCAATTTTTATCATATATATATATATATATATATATATATATATTCATTTTTTGAAAGAAAGGATGTATGACAAACTACAAAAATTGGAATTGTCAAAATAATTAAGAACTCATGCAATGAAAAATTCAATTTACTACTACACTATACCGACACATGAAAAATAAACAAATATAAAATAATTACAGAAACACAAATATTTACCAAAAATATTAGGAAACTAATTCAAAATGAAGACGAATCATGGAATAGACTAATGAAATAATATCCTAGAATATCCACACTTTACGCTCTCTCAAAATCCACAATATAGGCATCCCTCTGCTCCCCAGCATTTCATGAATAGGTAGTCCCCCCCCACTAACAAGCTAAAGCCATAACAAACTTTTTAACCTCTTTCCTTGGAACAATAAGTTCATCACATATAAAACCTTCAGTCAACCTTGTTGAAAACTAAGATAAACAAATATGAATGACAAAAACATGGCCAGTCTAGACTAATACACTAATGGCCTGGTTGAAAAATGCTTAAATCCCTTAAAAAACATCTAACACAATCAAACATAAACCTCTCCCTACCCAAATATAATAAAGGTGATGAGGAAACGAATTAAAAATGAAAACAAATCATGAGATATATTAACAGAATATCATCCAAGAATACCCAAACTTTACAGCTTCCCTAAAACCCACAACTAGGCATCCCAGTGCCCCCTCCACACATTATTTTAGTTTTTGGCAGCACTCCTCACAAACTGGCAAAAGCCATGACAAAAAATTTAACTCATCTCCATGGAACAATCATTCCGTCTGATATAAAAGAAGTCAGGTAACCTCGTTGAAACAAATATAACTGACAAACCAAACTCATAGCCAGTCTATATATAAAACAGTAGGAGGAGTTCGATAACAGATAGACAGAGGCTCCAACGTTATACAGAGTTATAAGCAATGTATAGATATAATGAATTGAAACATATTTCTTCATATATACAGTTACTTTATATATATTTCCGGTGGAGGCACGGTGGATAAGAGATAGTGGCTCGGATTGAGGAATCGGAAAGGCAAATTCGAATTCCAGTGGTGTATGTTACATTTACTTACTTGTAAATAACATTGGGAAGGTATCAATCCATCTTTTCTCCCTCCATGTGTAAATAATAGGACAGACTGGGCCCTCTAGCCCTGTTCGGGAACTCTAAATTGAAAATCTGCGGAGGGCCGTTTGGTGACCTTGTGGCACACTATGTTTTCCACTTCTCTGTATTCGGCTCTTCCAAAAGGTGTGCTTGGTTCTGCACTAGCCATCAACATTATAAGCAAATCATATGTGTGTGCAGTCTGGCTGTTTCATTCTAAGACCTCAGTTGATGTACACTCATACGTCAAAATCGACGGGAGAGTCCAGTATATACTTATCCTCTAAACTGCATATAAGAATAAATAAATATCTCAATACATTCATTGTATATATGTGCAAGGAGATTTATATTCAGCACAATAGTGACAAAGCAAAGAAATCTCAAAGAGCAACAAAATTACTTCATCCCTTGTAAGTAAATTGCTTAACAATTGACTCAGTCGGAATTGGTAGCCATTTTAGTATTTTCTTTCTTTCTTTCTTTCTTTCTTTCTTTCTTTCTTTGTGAATGTGTCGAACGCTGTTTTTGCTTGTGTTTCGACGGCGTCGTCTGCGTAATTCAAATCACACCTGTGGACTTCTGACAGGCTCTTTTTTCAGTCGACGTTTGGAGTGAGATGCCTACGGCGATTTGCCCATTCACTCTCTCGTTTGGCTGTTAACATTTCTAGTGATTGGTATTAAATGCTTTTCGAAGATGCTTTGGGCAAGAGTTTAGAATGTTTCATACAGATTGGTGTGAGACACACACACACACACACACACACACACACACACACACACACACACACACATATATATATATATATATATATATATATATGTTTGTGTGTTGCTTATGATTTGTTTCCTGTTTGTTATTTACTCTCTCCCCATCATTCACTTTACTTACCATTTTGGGTTTCTCTTTTACCAATTTCAAATCTTGAATTCTTTTATATGTTTCTGTCTGATTTAGTATAAACGTTTTTGTTCTATATTTATTTATAGATCTCGAGGCCTCAGCATCAATCTCTATTTCTTAGATGAGGCATTGTAATTATTTACACTATTTACATTAAATAGACTGCTATAATCTTTATTGACATATTCATGACGTTTCAGGCGATATTTCTTAGAATTTAGAACCAAACTTTTTTTTTAATCCACGGAGTAGTTTGTTCTAATTCCACGTGTCATGCTTTTGTATGTCTCAATTTTTCTCAAAGAAAAATCAGCGATATTACTGCTCCTTCTCTGGCCGTTGAGCTTCAGTCACTTTCCCGCCGCCGTAAGATTGCCTCTTGGTGTCTTTTCATGCTAATTGTTCAAATGAGCCCTTCGCTATGGTGTCTAGATTCTTTGAATTTAAGCGCATTGAATTTAAGACTGTTGTCGAGATCTCATCAATTTACAGTTCAGCTGGCTAGCTGTAACCGTAAGTTCTATGCTAACAGTTTCTTTTCTCGTACTTCTCGCTTGTGGAAATCTCTCCGGCTTCATTCTTTCCAGCCAAGTTTAATATGTAAAAATTTAAACGATATGTCAATCGCTATCTACTGCCGTCCTGATTCTCTTCCCACTCATTATTAATGCTTCGGTTCCTAATTCTTCCACAACCTGTAACCGCTTGTGTCTTAGATTTACTCCCTTGCATGGGGTCATGCCGATTAAAATATCTTGAGGCTTGTTTTTTTTTTATTTAACTGCTATATACAGACGAAACTTTAAGCTTGTAATGAAGCTTTTAATCAAAGCAATTCGACCAATGCACATATGTGAGGCTTGACCATCACTTTTTATAGTAGTCTGAAGTAGAGACAACAACGGTTACCTACCTACAAGATGAAAATATTTTTTCTATTTTTTACCAGCATAATTTTTAATTACCCTAATTCTTTTAATTCGTTCATTTCTTCTTCTTCTTCTTCTTCTTCTTCTTCTTCTTCTTCTTCTTCTTCTTCTTCTTCTTCTTCCTCCTCCTCCTCTTCTTCTTCTTTTTCTTCCTTCAACTTTGACCTTCCCTTTATTCTTCAGAAGACAGAAAGAGAGGGAGAAAGACAAGGAAAGAGAGAGAGAGGGAGAGAAAGAGAGAGAGAAGAAGAAGAGAGAGATGGGAATCGTGATTGTTTATTTTTTTACATTTGCTCGAAGAAAAATACAGCTAACCTAAGGTAGAATAAAACAGTGAAACCATTCTATTTCATTCTTTCAAGTTTATCTATCTATCTATCTATCTATCTATCTATTTGAATGACTCTCTATCTTTTGGTTAAAAAATACTACTATCCCAGCATATAAAAATAATAATTTAATCCTCGTGGCATCGTTAATATAAGGGAGTGGTCAGTTCTTGTGACGAAGGGTGTAATGGAGAGCCAAGGAGGTCTTATTTACACTGTTCATGTTCACTTGCGTTTGTGCTGAAATTCCCTGTTGTTTATTTTGATTCTTTCTATAGACACACATTCTGTAGCGTGCATATCGTATTTCCTTATCACAATGTCTATCTTAATTCAACTTACTCTTCTGACAGCACGGTTTGGGAACAGCTCAGAAACACGACGGATCGTTTGAGCCGAAGATCTCCCCAAATGACCTTCTCAAGATTTCCCTTTTAGTTAGTCATTTATTCTTCATTCTTCAACCTCAGTTTCGTATTTTTCACTTACAATCTATCTATCTATCTATCTATCTATCTATCATATGATGTTCATTATCTATCTATCTATCTATCTATCTATCTATCTATCTATCTATCATATGATGTTCATTATCTATCTATCTATCTATCTATCTATCTATCTATCTATCTATCTATCTATCTATCTATCTATCTATCATATGATGTTCATTATTTATCTATCTATCTTTCATATGATGTTCATTATCTATCTATCTATCTATCTATCTATCTATCTATCTATCTATCTATCTATCTATATATATATATGATGTTCATTATCTATCTATCTATCTATCTATCTATCATATGATGTTCATTATCTATCTATCTATCTATCTATCTATCTATCTATCTATCATATGATGTTCATTATTTATCTATCTATCTTTCATATGATGTTCATTATCTATCTATCTATCTATCTATCTATCTATCTATCTATCTATTATATGATGTTCATTATCTATCTATCTATCTATCTATCTATCTATCTATCTATCTATCTATCTAGTTTTATTCTTCCTCTTTTCAATAACTCCACCTGTTCTTCTATTTTGTTGTTCTTGTTGCTTCCCTTCTTTCCTTTGATTCTTACATTCTTTCACCCAACTCTTTTTTCGAATCTTTCTCCTTATTTTTGCTTCATTTTTTCTCTGTCCGGATTTACAGTTTTATTAAAAATAAGAGTATATAGATTCGTCTATCGTCCAGTTCACACTCCTCCCCGGTCTTTTGAACAGGGACACAGGTTTATCTCTGATTTACTGTTTACGTTCCTCCTAAAGTTTTTCATTCTCTTTCACTCCCTTGCGTTTAAGTGGCGTTACCACCTTGCTTGAGGTGAACTGAAAAAAAAAAATAAATAAAAACCCAAAACAAATGAGATTTTAGGTAGGAAACTCCCATCATAACATTTAGAGGAATTGAAAAAGTTATTTTCCTTTCTTATTTGTGATAAAATTAAATCAAACTGAAACTCAAAATGTATACATTTTACCATCAAAATTGGCTGTAAATATCAAAGAGTCAAGATCAGTCTATATGCAGTTTGATTATACTGCAGCTTTGAAAGTTATTGCATCTGTGTAAGCTCAGACGTGAACAGATGGGTGCTGATCATTTAAACATTCCATACCATATCCCGAATTAAAGACATAGCGTACATGCTCTCCCTCCACCTGAAGCCAGTGTACCGATGACAAGAGACGCTATGCTGATGACATTGATATTCATATTTGGGGCAAGAATGACCTAGAACCGAAAAATCAACATTCTTTATCAAGTGTTAGAAAAAATGGGATAATCTTTTCCGAAGCAAAATCTATGATCAAAATTTGGAATGAAAGGAGTGATGGCACACACTGTGAATCAATCATGAAAGTTCAGGATCTGGAAATTAATAAATACTCAAGAATTCCGTAACCCATTAGACTGTAGGGTCACCACCTCTATTGCAACTGTTGCAGCAATTGTGTTTCCTAGGTAAGCTAGCCTGACGGAGCCCAAAACTCACCAGACGAAAGATTTAAAATGCCGCAGTGTATGGATCAGTTATAACAAATTGTGTATAGCAGATAAAGAAACTAAAAATAGAGCAGGTTTCAATAAAGGTATTTTTGTATAACACGGTGTCACGTTAGATAATCTCATCAGATTTAGACTGTCGTATGGATGTCGAGTAAGGCGTCCAGTTCGTCCAGAACTGTCTAAACTATCAGCTATTTACATGCATTTTCACAGATCATTGCTTGAAACTGGCTTCAAGCGAATGTTCCCTCTGGCGGAGAGAACTTAGCTGGATCCTGCAGATGCAAAGGATTACATCAAATAACAAAGTCACTTGAAGACTTCCAACAGCAGCAACAATTGATTGATAACACATGTAACTAATAGGGACATCATACTATCAACAAAATACCTCGTATATTCTATATATGATCATCAGATTTAGCAATGAAACCGCCATCAATAGCAGAATTGCGATAAAACTTAATGAACTTTACCTGAAAAAAATGAGTGAAGGAAACGATGTTATAAATTTTAACTGACAGTAAAGCTGTTTGGAGAATGCCGAATGTTTCCTGTTTGGAAATGGCTAATTTTGCCATTATCATACAATTTGTTTTTCTTTCTTTCTTTCTTTCTTTCTTTCTTTCTTTTCCAATATTTTCTCTTCCTTTATTTCTTTATTTACCAGTATTTTTTCTTTCCCAATATTTTTTCTTTCCCAGTATTCTTTCTTTCTTTCTTTTCGAGTAGTCTTTCTTTCTTTCTTTCTTTCTTTCTTTCTTTCTTTCTTTCTTTCTTTCTTTCTTTCTTTTCCATTATTCTTTGTTTGTTTGTCTTTTTCTTTTATTTCGAGTAGTCTTTCTTTCTTTCTTTCTTTTCCAATATTTTCTCTCTCTTTATTTCTTCATTTCCCAGTATTTTTCTTTTCCACTATTCTTTCTTTCTTTCTTTCTTTCTTTCTTTCTTTATTTCTTTCTTTTCCATTATTCTTTATTGCTTTCCTTCTTTCTTTTCTATTATTCTTTGTTTGTTTGTTTGCCTCTTTCTGTCTTTCTTTCTTTCTTTCTTTTCCAATTTTCTTTCTTTCTGTTCCAGTATTCTTTCTTTCATTCTTTCTTTCTTTCTTTCTTTCTTTCTTTCTTTCTTTCTTTCTTTCTTTTCCAGTTTTCTTTCTTTCCTTCCTTCTTTCTTTCTTTCTTTCTTGCTTTCTTTCTTTCTTTCTTTTCTAGTATTCTTTGTTTCTTTCTTTTTTAGTCGGTATTCTTTTTCCTCTTTTTCTTTCCTTCTTTCTTTCTTTTTCATTATACTTTGTTTGTTTGTTTGTTTGTTTGTTTCTTTCTTTCTTTTCCATTATTCTTTATTGCTTTCTTTCTTTTCCAGTATTCTTTCTTTCTTTCTTTCTTATCCAGTATTCTTTCTTTCTTTCTTTCTTTCTTTCTTTCTTTCTAATACCATAAAGAACGATAACAACTAGTGGACTTGAGAAACCTATTTTTCATGAAAAATCCTTTTACGAGAAAGATTTTATAAATTTCACTGAAGTCTAACTCTTCAGTCATTGAATTCTGAATGTACCCTTTAAGGAAACGGCTAATCATACCATTAGGGATAAATACGTTTTGCCAAATACTGAAATCATTTGTTAAGCCAAAAGACTTTAAAACAGCCCGTCTTTCACCTAGCAGACATTTGTAAAAGTCAGTTAACTTTATGTTAGCCTTTCAGAAATTCCATTGATTGCAGGCCAATCACTTCTCATTGTACCCCTGATGGGTGGTCGCCAATGCTGCACAAAGAAAAAAAACATTTTAAAAGATTATAAGCAATAATGATAAAGGAAAATAATATAAAATAATAATTTAAATAAATATCATACCTCATATTACCTACGGACGACATAAAATTTGGCTAACTTCCCGGATGTAGACAAAACCTGATTTACAACACTGATCCAAATCACACTTAATATTGTTCCGATGTATACCTGTATCATCATCATCCTCATCCTTATCATCAGTCACATATAAGAGCGTGTTCGTAGGGTTGATGCATGACTAATTTCCTTCCTGGCTTGAAAGCCTGACAGCTAATCATTTATTCGCAGTGTGTCTTCGGCAAATAGAGCTGGTGAAACCCATCCCTTTATTGGACAAACCGAAGACGATGTCCTCCAACCTGAAGGCTCGCATTGATCTGGTAAACGTATCCGTTAACTCCAGTCTGAGAATGCCTAAACCCAGGGATATCATAGCATCACCGTCTGCTTCATTTTACTATACAGGCGATGACCCTGCAAGAAGTTACATCTGTCTTTTGACAGGTTCTGTTTTAAAACATTTTTGGCGTCTAGCTACTCCACCCTGATGGGGGAACCAGTTTAGTCACCGATGATTCGACTATGCGGCAGGTGTTAACATTAGCACTTTAAAATGGCATGACATTCCAATATGTAATGCATAAGTCCTAATGAAAGATACATACTCGTGTAAAATCAATATTCCGCAAATATGAATTATCCATCAATAATTTCATTTATTTTATGCAAGTCCAGTTCAATCCATATATCATTGAATAATATAGATATATCTTGTCTATTTATCTTTATAATTATCCTTTTTGGTTCTATAATAAGTTCGTTTATGGTAAGTTGAAATTCTTTAAGGAAGGCGCCGTTGTTTTTTTCTACCCTTATACTTTCAAGATCATCCTCAGGGGTAAATTACAAGAGGAACATGTTTGAATGAAGATATGTTGCCTAAACACAAACACGCACACATACATACATACACACACAAAACACACACACACACACACACATATATATATATATATATATATACACACACACACATATATATATATATATATATATATATATATATGTTTGTGTGTGTGTATAAAAATGTCTTAAAATAATTGTCGGACTTTGTCCATTTCATAATGTGTGACGTCATTTGTTTACATTTGATACGCCATGAGCAGATATGAATGTACGTGAGAAATTCATGGAAGATTGAAGTTTAAATAGAGTAAATTCGAGCTTACTGGTCGAACGCTCCTTCGTGACCAAATCGGTAAAGGCACATCAAGCTAAATGACGGTTTCCGTGTAGGATATAGGTTCGAATCCTGTCGGAGGACGAATATTTTTTATGAAAATTTCTCGCCCATTTAGGCCGGTAAATGTTGTTTTATACTGTTTATTATAAACAGAGCATTTACTTAAATATTTGTATCTATAAAAAGGATGTTAAACATAAAAATGTCTTAATATATATATATATATTCGACTCTTTGTGCAAAGACACAGCACACCATGACTTCCTACGCTTTTGGCTGTCTTATTTTAGTTACCTCACGAATCTGTATACAGGCTGACTTCACTACTACAATGACTACATAATCTTACCTTCCAGAGTAAATTAAATTTCCTCCCGTACTTTTGTCTGATGTTTATTTCACGAATCAAGATAAGAGTTTTGCTATAATCTTTTACATTTTACTTTAATCTAACTCATTTAGCCATGAATTCAAACAATCCCAGTTTCATCTACAACTCAACCTGCTAATCTTAGGTACGTGGATGTGTCTTGTGAGCAGAGTCACAGTAAACGGTACTTTTGCTTTCCATATTAACAAGTGAATTAAAACTTATAAAAAATTAAACCAAAAAAGTCGCCAAATTAAAAAAAAATTACTACATTCTGAAAAATGAGTTAAAGGCTATATATACATTTGCAGTTTACGAATAAACTTGCCGGAAAATGCATGTTGCAATTTCAGAATAGAACATCTATCGAGAATGCAATCGGTATTTTAATAAAACATGTGGGAAAATGCATTCTGAAATTTGAAACTTCATAATAGAAAAGGAGGGGGTAATTAAATGATGGAATTTTCAATTTTATGAATTCGCATTCGGAAATTTGAAATTTAAAAATAGAACTCCAGATATTGTATAATGTAATTTGCAATGTTAAAAAAAACAAAAAAAAAAAAACATGTACAGAACTAAATATCGTAAATTGTTTTTTTAAGAATATGACATGTTGGAAATCGTACGGTGCAATTCACAATTTAATAATAGAACAAGTTGGAAACAGCATTGTCCAATTTGCAATTTAAGAATAGAACACGGGGCAATCGCATGTTGCAATTTGTAATTCAAGAATAGTAAACAGGGTAATCGCATGTTGCAATTTGTAAATCAAGAATCGAAAACGGAGCAATCGTATGTTGCAATTTGCAGTTTAAGAATAGAACACGGGGTAATCGCATTTTGCAATGTAAGAATAGAATACGGGGCAATCGCATTTTGCAATTTGCAATTTAAGAAAAAACACGGAGCAATCGCATGTTCCAATTTAAGAATAGAACATATCGGTAATCGATGTTTAACTTATGAACAGAAAATGAGGTGAAGTGATTTATGCAATTTAGGAATAAGAAGAATACGTAAGAAATTGCATGGTCCTATTTTTAATTTAAAGAAAAGACTATGTGAGAATGGAATTTGTGATTTAAGAATAGATGATGAGGGAAATTGCATGGTGAAAATTGCCATTTGCAATTTAAGAATAAAAATAAAACATAAATCATTTTATTTATCGACCATAGACAATCATTAAAAAAAATTAGTAACATGACTAATCAATAGTTAATCTATTTACTCGGTGAAAAATTTACGAGTTGATGTAATTGTACTATTTACAAACATTTCACTTTTACTTAACACTTATTTTCTTCTCTAACATCCTATTGTCTGTATTTCTAACTTCGGATTAATTACAATATAGTTGTTCGTGACTAAATACTAATTTACCACGTTCTTGAATCATATATAATGAACTGTATTTTTGATAACCATTAGTGGATCTGTGGTTGTGACAGAATTCACTTAACTGGAAAAGTGTACGACTCACAGCTTTGGTATGAAAAAGCGAATGAAAATACTGATATTTGCTTTCTAGTTATTGCGTTATAAATCAAATCTTAGAAATTTTGCTATTTTAAATTTGGAATGTTGCGATGCCGAGTAACTATTCTCATTGTAAAATACTGATGCAATAGTCTTGAAATGAATAATGGATAAAGAAAGGAATACGAAAAGGCAGATGCTTACTTGGCAGTCGAAAAGCGTTTGGAAGATCAGCCTGGCACCACACACATCCTGTTCTTTGTTTTGTTTTTTTTTCTTTTATTGATAGATCTCAGCAAGACCCATCTGGAAAAATGGGCATCCCAAGTAACAAATCCATCGACATCGTCTCTCAGCATCTGAATCGAATAAGAATGTAATGGTAGCAAAGAGATCAGATATTTAATATGTTTTCAGTTGTCTGGCTTACAAGCAACTAGTAATACTGAAATTAGTTAAAAATGTACAGCGAAAACAAACCAGCTACTACTAACTCTACAGCAGGCACTCTATATAAATATATTGTGTCGGTTGTTTTTTTGTTTTTTTTTAGTGGCATATCAATTAACAATTTTGAGCTATTATCCATTACACCAGACGCAAATACAAGCTTATGGCACTAGGTATTTCCAAGCAGTCAGACATCTAGGTACTCACCAGGCTCGATGTTGCTTAACTGTCATTATCGTTATTGCCAACTGAAATTTTCTTAAAACAGTTTTTTCAGGAGAATAAACTTCTATATCCATATCGCTCTTTATCGTATTTATGGAAGTTTTTTTTTGTTATGTGCGGAAAGACCCCATCACGTTTTCATCATTATTTTTACCTTCGACTTACATGTTCCGTCTGCTTTAGGTTCTAATGAAGGCACGGTGGAGTAATGGATAGCGGCTTGGATTGAGGAATCGGAGAGCCGAGTTCGAATTCCAGTCGAATCCATTACATTCACTTACGTGCTAACACCCTTGGGAAAGGTGTGAATCCTCTTTCTTCTCCCTCCAACTATGGATAAATAGCAGGACAGACTTGGATGGCAACTGGTCTAAGAGAGGGAAAACTCTGAATTCAAAACCTGTGGAGGGTGGATGGAGTCTCTCTGAGCCTTGGTTGGCAATCCATTTAGTGATGGTGTCACGATAAAAAACACCCTTGATAGCCCTAGGGAAGCATCAAGAATTCAGCTATTTGACAAGATTATGAACTACACCAATCAAAGTATTAGTGAGTTCAATTTCGGCTGAGGCCGCAAGATGATGATGAGTTCTTGTTGCTTTTGGAACTCTTCAAGTGATGTATTTTGTTATTCGGT